ACAAGCTCCCCAAAGAAAGATTTCATTTGGAAAATGGCCATTTGGGGAGCTCGGGTACACCCCCCCCCATCCCCGACAGAGCCGGTTTGCGTCGGGAGAGGGTTCCAGAAGGATTTTCATTCTGGAACGGTTCCGGGGTGAAAATCCATCTGGGACCTCCCGATGCTGCGCGACAGAGCCCAGCCGCGAAAAACAAGCTCCCCAATGAATGATTTCAGTTGGAACATGGCCATTTTGAGAGCTCGCGCACATCCCCCCCGTCCCCGACAGAGCCGTTTTGTGTTGGGAGAGGGTTCCAAATGGATTTTCACACTGGAACGGTTCCGGTGTGAAAATCCATCTGGGACCTCCCGACGCTGCGCGGGAGGGCCCAGCAGCGAAAACCAAGCTTTCCAATAAGAGATTTCATGTGGAAAATTACCATTTTCGGAGCTCGGGAACACCCCCCCCATCCCCGACAGAGCCGCTTTGCGTCGGGAGAGGGTTCCAGATGGATTTTCACCCTGGAACGGTTCCGGGGTGAACATCCATCTGGGACCTCCCGACGCTGCGCGGGAGGGCCCAGCAGCGAAAAACAAGCTCCCCAATCAGAGATTTCATTTGGAAAATTGCCATTTTGGAAGTTCGGGCACGGCCGGCACAAGGCTTAAGAACTTCGGTGGTTCGGGAAGGGTACCCTTATGTTCTTCGTTTTTGTTCCATGTTCTTGTGCACCCAGGGAGAGGGTATCCTCGATGTTCTTCAGTTTGGCGCCATTGTTCCTTCGTTCTGACAAAGCTGGGGCTCGGGGCTCACGATTCGGCTACGAGCGTCCGCGGCGGGGGCGGGACCCTCTATGTTCTTCGGTCCCGAAGTCACGGTGCGGCCTTCAGCGACCGCGTGCCCCTTCATGATGGTGGTGCGATTGCAATCACCCTCGCATGTTCTTAGGGGACTGTTTGGCGTTGGTGGGCTTTGGGCTGCGGGGCGTAGGGCGTGCGGATGCAGGCTTGATTGAGGCTACGTACGTAGGCCGCAGGGCTCGCGCGTCCGCGGCACGGGCAGGACCCTCCATGTTCTTCGGTTTCGATGTCAAGGTGCGGCCTCCAGCAACCGCGTGCCCCTTGATGATGGCGGCGTGAGTGCAATCAATCTCGCATGTTCTTAGGGGAGAACTTGGCGTTGGTGGGCTTCAGGTTTCGGAGAGTAGGGTGCGCGGCTGCAGGCATGAGGCTAGGGCGGGCGGGCGAAGCCACGCGCAGTTTCCTGGGCTGCGGCAGGGCTGAGAGGTTGGATGTGCGGATGACGTTCAGGACGTAGCGCTGATGTCGGTCCTATGCTAAGGCCCATGGTGTAGGCCGCAGGGCTCGCGCATCCGCGGCGCGGGCAGGACCCTCCATGCTCTTCGGTCTCGATGTCAAGGTGCGGCCTTCCGCAACCGCGCCCCCCTTGATGATGGTGGCGCGAAAGGAATCGCCCTCGCATGTTCCTAGGAGAGAGTTTGGCGGTTGTTGGGCATCAGGTTGCAGGGCACACGTGCGGCTGCTAACTTGGTGCTAGGTCAGGCGGGCGAGGCCACGCGCAGCTTCCTGGGCCGCGGCAGGGCTGAGGGGTTGGATGTGCGGATGACGTCCAAAACGTAGCGCTGAGGTCGGTCCTATCCTAGGGCGCATCAAGTAGCCCGTGGGGCTCGCGTGTCCGCGGCGCGGGCAGGACCCTCCATGTTCTTCGGTTTCGATGTCAAGGTGCGGCCCCCAGCAACCGCGCGTCCCTTGATGATGGCGGCGCTCGAGGAATCGCCTTCGCATGCGACGAGGGGGCTGTTTGGCGCTGGTGGGTTTCGGGCCGCGGGGCCGAGAACCTCTGAGAGCCTCTGAGGGCCTCTGAAAGCGTCTGAGAGCCTACGAGAGCCTCCGAGAGCATCCGAGAGCTTCCGAGAGCACCTGAAAGCCTCTGAGAGCCTCCGAGAGCTTCCGAGAGCCTCCGAGAGCTTGTGAGAGCTTCAGAGAGCCTGAGAGCCTCCGAGAGCCCCTGAGAGCCTCCGAGAGCCCCCGGGGGAGCCCCTGAGAGCATCTGAGAGCCTTTAAGAGCTTCCGAGAGTCTCCGAGAGCTTCTGAGAGCCTCCGAGAGCCTCCGAGTGCTTCCGAGAGTCTCCGAGAGCCATCGAGAGCCTCCGAGAGCTTCTGAGAGCCTCCGAGAGCTTCCTAGAGCCTCTGAGAGCCTCCGAGAGCCTCTGAGAGCATCCGAGAGCCCCCGAGAGCTTCCCAGAGCCTCTGAGAGCCTCCGAGAGCTTCTGGGAGCATCCGAGAGCTTTTGAGAGCTTCTCAGAGCTTCTGGGAGCCTCCGAGAGCCACAGAGAGCGTCCGATAGATTTTGAGAGCCTCTGAGAGCTTCTGAGCGCCCCCGAGAGTCTCTGAGAGCCTCCGAGAGGCCCTGAGAGCCTCCGAGAGCCCCTGAGAGCCTCCGAGAGCCCCCGAGAGAGCCTCTGAGAGCATCTGAGAGCCTTTGAGAGCTTCCGAGAGTCTCCGAGAGCTTCTGAGAGCCTCTGAGAGCCTTTGAGAGCTTCTGGGAACGCCTGAGATCTTCCGATAGCCTCTGGGAGCTGCTCAGAGCTTCTGAGAGCTTTTCAGAACCTTTGAGGCTTCTCCGAGTGCCTCTGAGTGCCTCTGAGAGCCTCTGACACGCCCCCGAGAGCCTCTGAGAGCTTCTGAGGCGTTTCCGAGAGCCTCTGAGAGCTTCTGAGAGCCTCTGAGAGCCTCCGAACGCCCCCGAGAGCTTCCGAGAGACTCTGAGAGCCTCTGAGAGTCACTGAGAGCCACTACGCAAGAGCTTATGAGAGCCTCCGAGTGCCTCCGAGAGCTTCCTAGAGCCTCTGAGAGCTTCCGAGAGCCTCCGAGAGCCTCTGAGAGCCTCCGAGAACCCCTGAGAGTCTCTGAGGGCCTCTGAGAGCCTCCGGGAGTTTCTGAGAGCCTCTGAGAGCCTCCGAGAGCCTCCGAAAGCCGTTGCGGGGTACACAGGCGCTGTCGCGCGCGCAGGCATTGAGGTGTGCACGGGCACACTGGTGCATGCGACTGTTGCAGTGTATACGGGCGTTGTGGTGCACGCAGGCGTTGTGGTGCAGCGATAACACTCGAGGAGGAAAACGATGAGGATGGGGGGGAGGAGGAGGAGGAGCAGGAGCAGGAGCAGGAGCAGGAGCAGGAGCAGGAGCAGGATGGGGGATAGGGATGTAGCAATACAGCAGAGCTTCTACAGTTCTATGACTTGTAACCTGGTGGCCCCAGAAGGGGCCTGCGGACTTTCGTGGAGTTGGCAAGCACGCGGTGTCTGTTCTCAAACGTAATCCCCCCCCGTCGTCGCATCGCGTCACTGCGCGCTTTGTGTTCATGTCCCCCCTCTTCGTCACGAAGAACCGGAGGAGGAAGAGGAGGAGCAGGAGGATGTGCGCGTCGACGCGGCGGCGACCCCAGCGCAGGCGTTCAAGGTTGAACGCGCTTGGGGGGGGCAGTTCAGGCCCCAGGACCCACAGGAACGAACCCACGGCGTGAAACCACTATTCCATATTCGGGCGAGAGCCCCCAGGTATTTCAACGAGCGGACACCGGTCAAAATTGAACGATCCACGCGGTGTCATAAATTAACGTCCAAGCCGCCACCGACAGAGACTGGCTTGACTTCGGGAAAGGGCCCGGGACCCGCTTGGGACGGATTCTCGGCCGGGGGGCGCACGACGACGGCGACGGCGGCCGGGTCACCCACGAGCGCGTTGGGGAGTCCTGTGTTGTTCACAATGGAAAAGCAGACATGTAATCCCAAAAACTGAATTCAAAATTTTTGTAGCGCTTTAAGGAGGCCGGCGGCCGGGTCACCCGCGAGCGCGTTGGGGAGTCTTGTATTGTCCACAACAGAAAAGCCGACATGTAATCCCAAAAACTAAATTCAAAATTTCTGTGGCTCTTTAAGGAGGCCGACGGCGGCCGGGTCACCCGCGAGCGCGTTGGGGAGTCCTGTATTGTCCACAACAGAAAAGCCGACATGTAATCCCAAAAACTGAATTCAAAATTTCTGTGGCTCTGTAAGGAGGCCGACGGCGGCCGGGTCACCCGCGAGCGCGTTGGGGAGTCCTGTATTGCCCACACAGAAAAGCCGACATGTAATCCCAAAAATTGAATTCAAAATTTCTGTGGCTCTTTAAGGAGGCCGACGGCGGCCGGGTCACCCGCGAGCGCGTTGGGGAGTCCTGTATTGTCCACAGTAGAAAAGCCGACATGTAATCCCAAAAACTGAATCCAAAATTTTTGTGGCTCTTTAATAAGGAGGCCGACGGCGGCCGGGTCACCCGCGAGCGCGTTGGGGAGTCCTGTATTGTCCACAGTAGAAAAGCCGATATGTAATCCCACAAATTAAATTCAAAATTTCTGTGGCTCTTTAAGAAGGCCGACGGCGGCCGGGTCACCCGCGAAAGCGTTGGGGAGTCCTGTATTGTCCACAATAGAAAAGTCGACATACAATCCCAAAAACTGAATTCAAAATTTCTGTGGCTCTCTAAGGAGGCCGACGGTGGCCGGGTCACCCGCGAGCGCGTTGGGGAGCCATGTATTGTCCACAATGTAAAAGCTGACGTGTAATTCCAAAAAACTGAATTCAAAATTTCTGCGGCTCTTTAAGGAGGCCGACGGCGGCCGGGTCACCCGCGAGCGCGTTGGGGAGTCATGTATTGTCCACATTAGAACAGTCGACATGTAAGGTCAAAAACTGAAATCAAAAATTCTGCGTCTCTTTAAGGAGGCCGACGGCGGCCGGGTCACCCGCGAGCGCGCTGGGGAGCCCTCTATGGTCCACAATAGAAAAGTCGACGTGCAATTCCAAGAACTGAATTCAAACTTCCTGCGCCTCTTTAAGGAGGCCGACGGCGGCCGGGTCACCCGCGAGAGCGTTGGGGAATCCTGTATTGTCCACAGTAGAAAAGTCGGAGCACTTTTCCGACGTGTCCGTAATCATTTTGGCTCAAGCGCGGCGCAATGCCCAAGCGCAAGCGCGCGCCCGATGTTCGCGTGGGCCACGGCCGCGGTGGCCGACCCGATGCTGGCGCGCACGCCGCCATGCTGAGGGCCGCCGCGGCCGTGGCCCCGCGCGCCCGCGCCGCCCGCGCTCAGCGCGCGCGCCCGCCCGCGCCGCCCGCGCTCGATGGCCGCGCCCGCGAGCGCCAGGCCAGGGCCGAACGCGTGGCAGAGGCCGCTCGCGCGGCAGAGGCCGAGCGCAAGGCCAAAGCCGAGCGCGTGGCGGAGGCCGCGCGCGCGGCAGAGGCCGAGCGCAAGGCCAAAGCCGAGCGCGTGGCGGAGGCCGCGCTCGCAGCAGAGGCGAAGCGCAAGGCGTCGGCCAAGCGCGTGGCGGAGGCCGCGTGCTATGTCCGCGAGACGAGGCCGCGAGGCCTCGGGCCAGGCCAGATCCTATCCAGCGGCGCTGCCGCGCGATTCCGCCACCGCCCTCCGCGGAAGGGGTCCACCCGCAACCTCGTATTTGGGCACATTTTCTGTTTGGAAGGCCGAAAACGCAGGGACTTGGTCACAGAAATGAGTGCATCTTGGCCTCGATGCGTCGGGGGGCCTTAACTATTGCTTCCCAAGGAGCGAAAGGGCCCGACACACACCTACCGCTGCAAGCGCGGTGGCGGACAGCTGGGGGTCACGTGTCTCGGCCTCAGCGTGGCCGAGGCCGACCAGCTGGTCGACCAGCTGGCCGACCAGTGCCCGCGATCTGGTCGGTGATGTTGGTCCCAGACGGCAGTTGGGAAACCAGGATGGTGGACATGATGGGGTATTTGACAAATTACAAAGAGGCTCATATGGGTATCGAGCTGACCTGAGAAAAAGGCCATGAGGGGATTTGGCAAACCAGAAAGAGGGACATGGGGTATCGGCAGCATTATGTATTGTGCAAACTACACGGGTGCTCATGACGGGATCGGGCAAACCTGTGAAACATGGAAATGTCAAACCAGGAAGAAGCGCAGGAGGGTACAATGCAAAAAACCAGAGAAAGGGCCATGAGAGGACAAGGGGACCAGGCTAGGGTAGGAGTAGGTTGACGCTTAGACTGAGGCTTGGATTATGCCTGATGCCGAGGCTTAGGCTTATGTGGATTGAGTCTTAAGCAGAGGCTTGGGCAGGGGCTGGGCCTCGGCTTGGGCATCGCTTAGGCTTGGCCGAGGCAAAGCCTTGGCTGGGCTGAGGCGGATGTTTAGGCTGAGCTGGGGCTTGGGCTCAGGGTAGGGCTCATGCCAGGCCGGTGCTGGGGCTCGGGCTAGGCTGAGGCTGAGGTTTTGGATGCGGCCTTGCAACGCTTAGGCTGCGGCTTGGGCCAGTGTGAGGCTGAGGCTTGGGCTGTGGCTCAGGCTGCGCTTATTATATCTGGGCGCAAGCTGATGCCAGGGCTGTGGTTTTTGGCTGAGCTGGGCCGGCGCTGGGGCTTAGGCAGGGGCTGGGGCCTATCCGCTCAAGCCAGTCTTTGGGTGACGCTTGGGCGTGGCTGCGGCTTGGGCTCAAGCTGAAGCTAAAGCTACAGCTTAGGCTGGGCTTCGGCTAGGCTGAGGCTCAGGCTGGGCTGACCGAGGCTGCGGCTTAGACATAGGCTGACGCTTGGGCTAGACTTCTGATTGCGCCAAGCGTAGGCTGAGGTTCAGGCTGAGGCTGATGCTTTGGCTTGGATTATGTACATGCTGGGTCTCAGGCTGGGATGAGGCTTAGCCTGGGGCTTGGGCGCGAGCTGAGGCTGAGGCCTGGGCTGGGCCAGATTGTGGCTCAAGGATTTGCTGGAGCTTAGGCTGTGCTCGTTCGCGGGTTCGGCTTAGCTGAGGCTGCGCGTCCACGGTGCGGGCGGGTCCCTCCGCGTTCTTCGGTCACCATGTCTGGGTGCTGCTTCCACAAACCACGCGCTCGTCGATGATGGCGGCGCGGAGACTTGCGCCCTCGCCTGTCCTTGGGGGGCAGCCGCCTGGAGGCGGGGGGCCGAGGGTTGCAGGGGCAGGGCGCGCGGCCGCGGCCTGGCGCCCCAGGCGGTCGTGCGAGGTCGCGCGCGGCTCCCTGGCGCAGGGGCTTGGGCGGGATCCTGGGCTCATACATGAATGCCAGGGCGTGCGACGTAGCGCTGGGGCCCACTGCTAAGGCCCGACGGAGTGGGTCGCAGGCCTCGCGCGCCCGCGGCGCGGGCAGGGCCCTCCATGTTCTTGGGTCTCGATTGTTCTTCGGTCTCGGTGTCAAGGCGCTGGCTCCAGCAACCGCGCGCTCGTGGGCGATGGCGGCGCGGGGGCGCGCACCCTCGCATGTTCTTGCTTTTTTCGGGGGCAGCGGCCTGGAGCTGCTGGGCCTCAGGTGGCGGGGCCAGGCCGCGCTGCCGCGGCCTTGAGTCTGGGGCTGGCAGGCCAGGTCGCGCGCGGCTCGCTGGGGCATGAGGTCGAGGGCGAGAGCTTGGGCGGGTGCGCGCATGAGTGCCAGGGCGTGCGACGCGGCGCTGAGGCCCACTGCTATGGCTCAGAGTCCGAGGCCGCAGGCCTCGCGCGTCCGCGGCGTGGGCAGGACCCTCCATGTTCTTCGGTCTCGGTGTCAATGCGTCGCCTCCAGCAGCCGCGCGCTCGTGGATGACGGCGGCGCGGAGACGCACACCCTCGCATGTTCTTGTTTTGGGGCAACAGCAGCCTGGAGCTGGGCCTAGGGTGGCGGGGGCCAGGCCGCGCGGCCGCGGCCTTGAGTCTGGGGCGAGCAGGCGAGGTCGCGCGAGGCTCCCTGGGGCGCCGCGGGGTTGGGGCGAGAGCTCGCGCGCGTGCATGAGTGCCAGGGCGTGAGACGTGGCGCTGAGGCCCACTGCTAGAGCCCGACTAAGCTGGTCGCAGGCCTCGCGCGTCCGCGGCGCGGGCAAGACCCTCCATGTTCTTCGGCCTCGATGTCAACGTGCTGCCTCCAGCAACCGCGCGCTCGTGGGTGACGACGGACGCGCGGAGGCAGATCCAGGGCACAGGAACACAGCGTGGGTCTCGGGGGGCGGGGGGGGGAGGGGGTCAGGGTTTCGGGGTTGCGTGGTCCAGGCTGTGCAGCCGAAGGCTTTAGGCTGGGGGCTGAACCAGATGCGTACTTACGCACGTTGGCTCGGAAGTGAAGGTCGGACACCTCGGAAGGGCATCCTCGACGTCCTTATGGTCTGGGGTACTTTGGCCCGCGGAGGGTCTCATGTTCTTGCTAGATGTTCTTGTGTCCTTGTTCCGGCCGTGCACCCCCCCATCCCCGACAGAGCCGTTTTGCGTCGGGAGAGGGTTCCAGATGGATTTTCACCCTGGAACGGTTCCGGGGTGAAAATCCATCTGGGACCTCCCGATGCTGCGCGACAGAGCCCAACCGCGAAAAACAAGCTCCCCAATAAGATATTTCATTTGGAAAATGGCCATTTTGAGAGCTCGGGTGCAGCCCCCCCCCCATCCCCGACAGAGCCATTTGCGTCGGGAGATGGTTCCAGGTGGATTTTCACCCTGGAACGGTTCCGGGGTGAAAATCCATTTGGGACCTCCCGACGCTGCGCGGGAGGGCCCAGCCGCGAAAAACAAGCTCCCCAATAAGAGATGTCATTTGGAAAATGACCATTTGGGGAGCTCGTGCACCCCCCCCATCCCCGACAGAGCTTTTGCGTTGGGGGAGGGTCACAGATGGATTTTCACCCTGGAACGGTTCCGGGGTGAAAATCCATCTGGGACCTCCCGACGCTGCACGGCAGAGCCCGGCCGCGAAAAACAAGCTCCCCAATAAGAGATTTCATTTGGAAAATGGCCATTTTGAGAGCTCGGGTGCGGCCCCCCCCCATCCCCGACAGAGCCATTTGCGTCGGGAGAGGGTTCCAGGTGGATTTTCACCCTGGAACGGTTCTGGGGTGAAAATCCATTTGGGACCTCCCGACGCTGCGCGGCAGAGCCCAGCCGCGAAAAACAAGCTCCCCAATAAGAGATTTCATTTGGCAAATTGCCATTTTGGGAGCTCCGGTGCCCCCCCCATCCCCGACAGAGCCGTTTTGCGTCGGGAGAGGGTCCCAGATGGATTTTTACCTTGGACCCGGCCGCGAAAAACAAGCTCCCCAATAAGAGATTTCATTCGGAAAATTGCCATTTTGGGAGCTCGGGTACACCCTTCCCATCCCCGACAGAGCCGTTTTGCGTCGGGAGAGGGTTCCAGATGGATTTTCACATTGGAACGGTTCCGGAGTGAAAATCCATCGGGGACCTCCCGACGCTGCGCGGCAGAGCCCGGCCGCGAAAAACAAGCTCCTCAATAAAAAATTTCATTTGGACAATGGCCATTTTGGGAGCTCGGGCACAACCCCCCCATCCCCGACAAAACCGTTTTGCGTTGGGAGAGGGTCCCAGATGCATTTTCACCCTGGAACGGTTCTGGGGTGAAAATCCATCTGGGACCTCCCGACGCTGCGCGGCAGAGCCCGGCCGCGAAAAACAAGCTCCCCAATAAAATATTTCATTTGGACAATGGCCATTTTGGGAGCTCGGGTACAACCCCGCTCCCATCCCCGACATACCGATTTGCGTCGGGAGAGGGTTCCAGGTGGATTTTCACCCCGGAACGGTTCCGGGGTGAAAATCCATCTGGGAGCTCCCGACGCTGCGCGGGAGGGCCCAGCCGCGAAAAACAAGCTCCCAAATAAGAGTTCTCATTAGGAAAATTGCCATTTTGGGAGCTCGGGTGCACCCCCCCCCGTCCCCGACAGAGCTGTTTTGCGTCGGGAGAGGGTTCCAGATGGATTTTCACACTGGAACGGTTCCGGGGTGAACATCCATCTGGGACCTCCCGACGCTGCGCGGGAGGGCCCAGCAGCGAAAAACAACCCCCCCAATAAGAGATTTCATTTCTGGAAAATTCCCATTTTGGGAGCTCGGGTACACCCTCCCCCCCATCCCCGACAGAGCCGTTTTGCGTCGGGAGAGGGTTCCAGGTGGATTTTCACCCCGGAACGGTTCCGGGGTGAAAATCCATCTGGGACCTCCCGACGCTGCGCGGGAGACCCAGCCGCGAAAAACAAACCCCCCAATAAGAGATTTCGGTTGGAAAATTGCCATTTTGGGGTCGGGTACACTCACCCCCATCCCCGACAGAGCCGTTTTCGTTGGGAGAGGGTTCCAGATGGATTTTCACCCTGGAACGGTTCCGGGGTGAAAATCCATCTGGGACCTCCCGACGCTGCGCGGCAGAGCCCAGCCGCGAAAAACAAGCTCCCCAATAAGAGATTTCATTTGGAAAATTGCCATTTTGGGAGCTCGGGTACACCCCCTCCCCATCCCTCGACAGAGCCGTTTTGCGTCGGGAGAAGGTTCCAGATGGATTTTCACCCTGGAACGGTTCTGGGGTGAAAATCCATCTGCGACCTCCCGACGCTGAGCAGGAGAGCCCAGCCGCGAAAAACAAGCTCCCCAATAAGAGATTTCATTTGGATATTTCCATTTGGGGAGCTCGCACACCCCCCATCCCCGACAGCTGTTTTGCGTCGGGAGAGGGTTCCAGATGGATTTTCACCCTGGAGCGGTTCCAGAGTGAAA